TGACACTTTACTATAGATAAGGTATAAATATATTTTCATAAAATCTGGAACATCCCCGGTATTTTCTATATTATTTATAAACATAAACTGCCAAATGTATAAGGTAAGAGTACCTACTTTATATTTTAATATTTGCAAATTCGTGCGGTGTGCTGATTCCACACCTGTTATTTACGTCATGACTTATTAACATAGGGGCTCTGAATTCTATTATAAATAGTTTAATAAAGTATTAAATGAAAATAATTTAAAAAGGAAATGTAAATTATATTTGAGATGGAAAGTACGTGAAAATTTAACACATAATAATTGTACTTTTTCCCCCTCGCTCTTAGCCATTTTGATTATTTTATTTTAAGAAATTTTTATTTAAAATATACAGGGTATTATTTAATTTGGAAGGCATTTTAACAAAATTCAATCATAGCCACTCAGTTTTTTGTTTATATACCTTAAATCATAAGATAATGTTCTTTATATTTCACTACATTGGTTTGAATGAAAACTCATGCTCTCTTTTAAAGTCTTATCCTACAAATAGAGTGCAGAAAGTAACTGTTGAGGACAAATTATCTCATGAAATTGATATTCAGCAGGGTGTGCCCCAAAGAAGCATATTAGGTCTGCTCTTTTTACTTCACGGAAAAAAATGTGACTAGAAAAGTTTACTACAATATTGTAGTAGTAGACTTGTAGAAAAATACTTGACTTTTTGTAGAAAATTTTACTATAATTTATAGTTAAAAATTATTCATTATTGTAGCAATTGAATTGTCGAATAAAATGCTACAACAATAGAAAAAAAGACCACAATGTTTAGTATATTTTGCTATTGTTTGTAGAAATAGAAATTTATTACAACTATCGTAATTACTACTACTAACTTCTGTTAAAATTTGTACAAATATTAATAATTGTCTTTACAAAAAATAGTAATTTTCTCTACAAAAAATAGTAATGCTTTACATCCCTTCTAATAATAAAAATTCAATTTTGTTGAAAAATATTCTATAATATTGTAGAAATTCTAAGTCATGTGAATAAAACAGAATTCTGCTATTGGCCAACATTTTCTGACGTCGATCATAAATGGTCAGACAGCAGTAGTCGTTCGCCATGTTCACAAAACAAAGCATGGTACATCTATAACACATTATTATATTATAAGCAGTGATGGTTCGAGAAAATTTTAATAATAACTTCTATAAGTGGTAAGTACATTTATCATTGTTTCTAAATAATTTACCTTTAGATAACTAATTTAAATAACCTTAGTAGATTATTTTTATAAAAATGGTTATGGCTAACAATCGAATGCTGTGCCAAGTTCGATGATGTTTTTTCGATTTATTTGTGACATACCTACTTTCTCATTTTTTTTTTAGTTTTCCGACGTGATCATTTAATATGCCAATCATTGTAAAGGTTATAGATATTCCCGTTTTATGAGTAAGAGCAGTTCAATAGGTATTAATTTTTATTTCATGTTTTTCAGGTGCAGTAATACCAACTGAGACTGAGGGAGCTATTATTACTGTTATTTATTTATTAAATAATGTAATTAAGACTTCGTATCTTTCTTATTAAAACAATACATTATTTTATTAAGCAACATTTTTTCTAGGTTATAATTATAATAATTGTGGAATACTACTACAAATTTTATTAAACATGACTACAATTTGTTTGAATTTTTACTATTTATTGTGTAAAATTTTCATATTAATTTTCATGAAACGCAATACATTTATAATATAAATTCATACAATGAATAGCAAAAATTATAACAAGTATTTTTCTACAAGTCTACTACTACAACATTGTAGTAAAATTTTCTAGTCACATTTTTTTCCGTGTAAAATTAAATTTAGAACTGATGTACATAATTTGAATTTAAGAAGGCACCATTATATTACTACAGCATCCCATAATAAGGAATTGTTTAAAAGTTCCATTCTCTTACCAAGTTGCTTCTGTCAGCCATCTACTCAATATACCTAACTTTAATTTATCCTTTAAAGCATTTAAAAACAAACAGAGGAAACAGCTTTTTAATAATCAATAATACACATGTTATTATTTTGTGATTGCTATTAAACAGTTCTTTTATAGGGATATTATTACTAATTTATTACACAGATCTGCTTTTCTGTATTTCTTTTATTATTCTACACTGAGTATTTATTTATATGTTAATGTTCTTATATTTTTTCTCTTCATTTTATTACTGCACTATATATGTGAGAATCTTAAGCTTTGTTTTATACATATATAAGTAGACATATTTTTCTTTAATTAAGCTCAGAATAATTTAATGAAGGGTGGTGTGGAAGAATCGGTCTTACTGATCTGACACCATACCTAAAATTTACAATAAATAACCCAGTACAATACAAAAAAAGTATCTAATTTTAAAATATATTGGTTTTATATTTATCTGGAATTAATCTTCTTATATACTTACTGACCTAACATCTTAAAAAAAAAGAATTTATTTATGGAATATTAAGCCATTTTCTAAGCAAAAATTTGCAAAAACAAGTTACCCATACTTTACCCGGTTAAAACCGTAAGTCTCGGGATATAACTTACGGAATCTGTTCATTAAATAAAAAAATCAATAACTGTTACACGCGGACTCACACAGGTGCCGATTTTAGCAGTTAATTTATATGAAAGAACAACGCAGACATCTTCTAGCCTTCTTAATATGTTCAATAAACAATCCTTATAATCCTCTTATGTAAACCAGATGCGGACATCAACGCGCATTTCCCATAATATCCATTCTATTCAAGGGATAAATGATAATATTATTGCGAAGAAAATCGGAACTTAAATCCTCGCAAAGGATAACGTGTAGGCTCATATATAATTTCCAATTATGTCATTATGATTGTGATACCGATCGTGTTTTTTAATGAAGGGATTATTTCCCAAGAACAGGTATTATAAATAGGCTTGTAAAATAGTTTATTACACTTAGTGATGCCGAGTAATGGCGTTTAACGTGATATTATTGGTCTATTTAACGCTTTTTTATCATTTTTTAAAGGGTTTTTCAATTTTTGATTTTTACCAGTATAAGTAAAAAAAAATAATTCCAACTCAAAATAGGAGTGACCGGAAAACAACTACTCCTTTGCTAATACTATTGAATTACATGCAAAGGAAAGGTAGCAGAGATAGAAATTAAATTTCAACACTATATCTTTAATTTTGTTCATTTTTGAACCAATATCATCCTTATTAGGGCACTTCAGCAAGAAATAAATAGATGGTTCTTAATTCTAGTCTCTAATGGAATTAATGAAGGCAACACATTCACTAGTATACAATTCTATTAGTTACGTAAAGAATAAGAATTCAAGTAGTAAAAATGGTGTCGCCATCTCTTCCTAGTAAACAAAATCAAAGTTCGCTTGTAGTACCCAATTATAAAATTAAGGAATATTTAAAAAACTAAAAAAAGTAAGAAAATATTTTGAAACAAAACTAAAAAGATATTCAATTAAAGAAAACAATACTATATATATTACGGCATTAGGTCAGGTCTCTTTTTGTTGAAATTAAAAAAGTATATATTTTTATAACAATGGAAACGAGTATTATAGTGTATTTTTTCTACGATTGATAATCAAATTTGCATTTTTTCTCACAGATTATTTGCGTTAACAGTTATTAATTTCTCATACTATATAAATATGTGTGAAATAATTTCTAAAGGCTTAAAAACAATATAATAAATTTAAGTAAAAATAAAGAAAATATAAATGTTATCGAATAAATAAAAAATGCATACAACATATCTTTAATTTTAGATATAAAAATAAGTAGCTGACAATAATATAAATACAACATTACAAAATAACATTTTTATGTAGTTTAATCAAGAATTGTGTATTTCAAATTAAGATAGTATAGAAAAAAGGGTAATAATGATTTTTTTGGAACTATAATTATTGATAACGTTCGATATATGTTGTTCATTTAGTGAAATTTAAATAACTAGCAAAATAGCTCAGTTGGGAACGCGTTAGACTGTAAATCTAAAGGTACCTGGTTCGATCTATGGCTTCGCCATTTTTTTTTTTATTATTACTATTATTATTAATATTATTATTACTACTTGTGCACAAAATCTATTACACATTATTTATAATAAATTTGAACAAGAATAATTAAAAAATAACTAGCAATATAGCTCAGTTAGACGGTAAATTTAAAGGTCCCTGGTTCGATTTCTGGCATCGAATTTTTTTTAGTATTAATATTATCATTAATATTATTATTATTACTTGTGCATAAATTTTATTAACATATTATTTATAATTAATTTGAGCAAGAATAAAGAAAAAATATGAATTATGGTGAATAAATTAAAATTGCATACACTCTATCTTAAATTTTAGAGACAAAAATAAGTAGGTGACATTCATATAAATAAAACATAATAAAATAACATTTCTAAGGGCTCCCCTCCTAAATACCTACATAAAATTCAAAATTCTACCCAAATAATAAATAGTTACCACTGATTTTCATGAGATTATGAATTGTCACTTTTAGGAATTTCATACCAGTATCATTTAATTTAATTAAAATATTTAAATTATGGCTAGTTAAATTAATAATATTACACCCAAAAATATCAGAAAAAATGTATACTGTATATTAAGAATTGTTACCACCAACTTAAGAAACAAATATTGAACTGCCTTCAATAAATTTTTGGAATGGTAGAAAATCCAACAAACAATAATTATTCTCTGAAAATACAGTATATGGCATATTTTAAAGAGTTATTAAAAAATTATAAATCTTCAGTCTTATGGACTCAAGAATTAATATTTAAAGTATCAATAATCTAAATTATAACTTATAAATGTTTTATATTCAAAACTTGTTTTTTGAAAGTTAAATTCAAAAATTACATCTCTAAAAAGGCAAAACTTTAAAATATGCTCCAAACGAGAAATATTTAATTAATAGGGTAACTTCTATTTCAAAAATCTTTCTGAAGTAACTATTTCCACATAAATAATAATCTGCAAAAGTTTAACAATTTTAAATAAATGGAATATTGTTATGAGGATCTGTATTTTGATAAATAACTTTGTTTTATTAAAAATGTAGTCACATATTTTCGAACAGCTGGTGTTAGCTTAACAATTAGGAAATCGTAGAAAAAATAAAGTCTGAAATACGTGTAAAAGACGCTTTCCTCACTAATTGCTCTAACTACTTTATAAGAAAAAGGAAATTATTTCATTTAATTTTTTTACGTTGTTTAGAAAATATGTATGCCAACTCACAATAATATTTCTTTTCAATTTGTGCAACAATCAATTTAAATAAAATATTTTGTAAAAAAAAATTGCAAAATTGTAATAAAAAAAAACTTACCTTAGTTTTTGATGTTTGAATCCTATCGGCACCATTGACAATAGCATACACTTCTATATCGTATGTATCAACTCCCAATTCACGATCCAATTCCGTCGCAGTCGATAAAACTCCCAACTTGGTATCAATGTCGAACAACCTGTCAACTTGTATACCACCACCTGTCACATTCGTCACATAATATTCAACTTCCCCGATACTAGATTTCGCTGAAACCATAAGGATACTAGTACCCGTCGGTTCGTTTTCGTATACACTACCGGTAAACAGATTACTCTCGAATTCAGGTCCGTTTTTCGCGTTATTCGTAGCTATGACAGTCAAGTACGCTTCCGTAGATTTACGTTCACTCTGCACCGCCTCGTCAGTAGCTTTAACGCTCAGACGATAAGTCGGTTCGGGATCGTAGACGGCTTTGCGGAGCCTCAACGCCCCCGTACTTTGATCCAATTTGAATAAGTCACTGTTACCACTGGCTAATTCGTACGTTACCAGACCGTTAGTGGCGGAGTCCAGGTCGCGAGCAAATACGTTCATAATTGGCACTTCCCGGTTAAAAGTGTGATCGATTTTCGGTAAAATAGCAGCGTTCATCGAGACGAAAACCGGAGCATTATCGTTAACATCTTCGACGATTACAGTAACGAGTTTATCAGCTGATAATCGAGATGGAATCGGCACTGCTTGGTCCGTAGCGACTACAGTAAGTCTGAAAGTATCAATAGTTTCTCTGTCTATCGGTAGAAGTGTATGTATAACCCCTGTAATTGTATTTATTCCGAAATGTCTTCTATAATCTTCTGGGTCTTGATAAGATATTGCGTAAGATACTTTTCCATTGAGACCCGAATCGGGGTCATCGGCCGTCACTGTAACGATGGGGGTGTGAATCGGGATGCCTTCGCGAATCTGTCTGACTATAGCAGTGCTGGGGAACGACGGAGGATTATCGTTGGCATCTTCGACGGCAATGGCGAATAAAATAGTGGTTGATAATCTCGGATTGCCGTTATCGAATGCTGTAATGTTGAGCTGATAGGAAGCCAAATCCTCGAAATCTAACGGTTTATGCAAATGCAGTACTCCTGTCATTGAGTCGATGTGAAAAGTGTCTTTTCTATTTCCAGCGGTAATCGAATAAACAACTTCGCTGTTCACTCCAAGATCGGCGTCTGTCGCTTTAAACTGTATGAGCTCGGTGTTTACAGGAGTCATTTCGCTCACCGAAATCCTCGATTCGCTTTGCGTAAATTCCGGCGCATTATCATTTTCATCCAGAATATCAACAGAAACAATCGTCGTTGAACTTAATCGCTTCCCCGATCCAGCATCGTGCGCCAGTACCGTTAATTTATACTTCGAATTCGTCTCTCTATCTAATGATTTCGATAAAGTTATCTGCCCGGTTGCTTCATCAATGTCGAAACGCCTATCATCGTTGCCACCGACAATTTTGTAAAATACATCGCCGTTTAAGCCTTCATCGGCATCGGTTGTATACAGACGAAGCACTTGCGCTCCCACAGAGGAGCCTTCGGATATTTGCACCTTATAGGGAGTTCTCAAAAATTTTGGCGGGTTATCGTTCACGTCTATCACGTTAACGTGAACTTTAACTTTATCTTTGAGGCGAGGCACTCCGTTATCTGTCACTGCCGCTTCTAATGTAATGACATTCTGACCCGTGTTCAGCACGAGCTCCTCCCTGTCGAAGATATGCAACGTTCTTATGAAGCCGTTTTTGGGATCTATCGCGAAATCGTTTTGCGAATTTGACAGGGAGAATATTAACTCGGAATTTCTGCCGATGTCCTTATCAGTCGCCGCCAGTTTTCCAACAAATGAATCGGGCGGTTCGTTTTCTCTAATGTTAAATATGAAGGTATTGTTAGTGAATTCAGGACTGTTATCGTTTTCATCGATAACGTGGATGACTACTGGCACAATCGATGATCGCGATGGATTTCCCGCATCGCTTGCTGTTAAAGTCAATGAATAATAGTCTTTATCTTCACGATCTAACGGTTTTTTGACATATAAATATCCATCTGGGAAAACTCCGAATTTATTTTCGTTATTTCCCTCAGAAATAGCATAGGAAATCCTACCGTTGGCCCCTAAATCTGCGTCACTGGCAGCCAATGCGAAGAATCTCTCGTTGACTGGTGTGGATTCTAACAGTGAAGTCTCGTACGACGTATGATCAAAAACGGGGGTGTGGTCGTTCACATCTTCGATAATAATCATTACGGAGTGTTTGGAGGCTAGTGGCTGCTCGCCTCCATCCGTAGCGGTAACTTCCACGTTCAAAACAGCGCCCGGGTCAGCACGTACAGGCCTGTTCAAATAGATGACCCCGGTGGCTTCGGATATCCTAAATTGATCGTGAGGGTTATAACTCAAACTGTACGTAACCCTGCTATTTATGCCTGAATCCAAATCTCTTGCACGAGCCAAATACACTTCTTGTCCCACGGCGGCGTTTTCGGGGAGTTTAATTTCTTCTTTGTCGCGCAGGAATACCGGTTTATTGTCGTTTAAATCTTGTACCACAATATTTACAGTGGTTTTACCGTAGGACAATCCGACTCGCGCCACGACCGATAAACTATAGCTCATCGTTTGTTCTCGATCTATTTTCTTGGCCGTCACAATTTTACCGGTGTTTTCATCGATTTCGAAATTATGATTGGGATCGCCGTAAAAAATCGCGTAAGTCGCTTCGTTGTTTCGTACGTGGACGGTGCCGACGTCCCGTTTTTTGAATGATTGCAAATCGTTCGGATCTTCGACTATTTGGAAATCGTAACCGGCGTAGTTGTCGAAATGCAGTTCTTCTATGTAGGCTTCTTTTATTATTTCGACTGTGGCATCGTCGATTGCTTTTTTATCGCCTTGATCCACCGCTGAAATTTTTAAACGGTGCAAAGGTTTCGGGATATTTTTTAAGCTGCCTTGCAGGGTAACAATTCCGGTCCATTCGTCGACGGAAAATAAACCGTCTCCGCCGTTTTCTAATTTGTACGTTATGATCGCATTTTCACCGTCATCTTTATCGGAGGCAGTCACTTTCAGCAGCGATATTCCGGATTTGGTGTCTTCGGATATTGATAAGAAATATTTTTGTGGGTAGAATTCCGGGTTGTTATCATTTACATCTAAAATTGTTAGAAACACGGTAGCTGTAGACGATTGAGAGGGTATACCTTGATCTTTGGCGATGACGTTAATTTCGTAATTAGAGATTTTTTCTCGATCGAGTTTCTTTTTTGTGATTAGTTGTCCGGTGAGAGAATCAAGAGCAAAAGTGTCTTCGTATCTTTGACGGACTGCTGGATGTAAAGTGTAGGCAACGCTGCCGTTCGTCCCTTGATCGTGATCCGAAGCAGTTAACATTGCAACTAGAGTGCCAGGTGGGGCGCTCTCAGACAAACTAACGTTAATACGAGACTGCGAGAATTCCGGGGCTTCATCGTTTTCGTCTAAAATTGTGACTTTTAATTGAGTGTGCGCCCATTTCGGATTCGGCCCTCCATCTCTCGCTGATATATTCAACTCGACGGTACCTTGAACTTCCCTGTCTAGCGGTGCACGTGTAGTTATGAGCCCCGAGTCAGCGTTAATAGAAAACCACTGATTTTCATTACCAGATACAAAAGCGTAATATATTTGAGCGTTGACTCCGGTATCCTCGTCCGTGGCTGTGATTCCAGCTACGTAAGTGCCCGGGGGCGCCAACTCGCTGAGAATGGCAGAATATTCACTTTTCTCGAATACAGGTTCATGATCGTTTACGTCGTTTACGTGGATTATTAAAAAAGCTGTTGCCGTGCGTGGTGGTGAACCTTTATCAGTTGCCACGACTGTCAGATTGTACTTGGATATTTCCTCCCTGTCAAGCACGCCGTTTACCCTCACAATATCAAAACTAGGAGTATAATCTAATCTAAAATGGTTTAATTCATTTCCAGAAACAATTCTTACCGTAGTTTCTCCATTAAGGCCTTCGTCTTGATCCACGACTGACACTGCAGCTACCACAGAACCGTTACCCGCATTTTCATCCACTGTCGCAAATCCCGCTGTGCTAGGAAAGTATCTAAATTTAATAATCGGATCGTGATCGTTAGCGTCGACCAAATTCACTGTAACATAAGTCCGGCCGTCTTGTCGTGGCGTACCGTGATCCCTTGCGAACACCGTAAACACGCAACTTTTAGGACAAGCACCCCCGGGTTTTGATGGATGAATACAATTTTGCTGTGGACATTCTAAAATTTCCGTTGTTGAAATTACGCCTGTCTCGGGATCAACGGTGAATTGATGCTCGGTATCGGCGAGGTAATAAGTTATTTTTGAGTTATCCCCCAGGTCATTGTCAGTCGCCATTACTTGTAACACTGGGGTGCCAGGCGGTACGCTTTCATTCAAAGAAACAATATAATCGCTGTGATCAAATATGGGCGGATTATCATTTACATCTAAAATGGTTACGTTTACTTGTAGGTAACCGTATTTTGGAATTTTACCACCGTCCCTGGCTGATATATTCAAAACGTAATAACCTTGAGTTTCCCTGTCCAATTTTCCCGTAGTTTCTAGGTGTAGATAGGAAGTTTCTCCTGTGGGATTAGGAGTAACTACTAGTCTAAATTTTTCGTCCTTATTTCCTGCTGTGATTGTATAATTATCGCTGATACTGTTCACTCCGATATCTCTATCCGTAGCCGAATCTAGGAGCAACCTAGTCCCAGCAGCTGCGCTTTCAGAAAACGACACTGCTATACTAGGCTCAGGAAACTCTGGAGAATTATCGTTTATATCCACTACAACGATTCTGACTTCGATAGGGTAAGTAGGTTGACTAGATAAAATTACCAAATCGATCCTGTCATTTTTCATGCTCTCCCTGTCAAGAATAACGTTTGTTTTGATTTCGCCCGTGTTCGCATCCAGAGTAAACTCTTTCGGTGGTTCGTTAAATCGGTAGGTAAATCCTGGTTTCGTTGGAATCTTCCCGACAGCCTTTCCTCGTTGTTGTTCTTCCAGAATTTCGAGAGTAACGCGAGTATCGACGGCGCGCGATTGCATTTGAGTCGAGTATCCGAAGAATGGTTCCGCGGCAAAAGAAGTTCTTCCCGGTCCCGGACCGGGCGTGCGACCCCCTACGATAAGTATGGCACCAAAGAGTAAAAAAGAATTTATGATTCGCCACATTTTTTTATAGTTTTACTACCGACGCATTATTTATCAATTAATAGTAACGATGTTTTTTTTATAACATTTCTTTAATATCAATGCACGTGTGTTAGATGAAGAACTCTAACATTCCTCAGTTCCACTCCCCGCGTAGCAAGTCGTTCAGCCTCTGGAGAGCGCGAGGTGCTCACTCTATCTCGCATAACAACCGCACTGTGTCTCTCTCCGTGTGGTATGCAATATGGCCGTTTACAGACGGGATCTTTTTAAAACTTCTATGAAAACAAACTAGAATTTAGCACTATTTGAACCACTGGCACTTACTATGGCTGTTAATTCGGGTGGTTGGTTCACTTTCATTCACAAATCGGGTATACTGCGGTTTAAAAGAGGTTAAACACTTGTTGCAGGTCAATAAAACTCTCGCACAGGTTAATTATCGTTTTGATAGTTAAAAAAGGATTATCGGCACTGATTAGCGGTTCGAATTAGGCACTGTTTGGTCACTGAAAGGTCCGGTGCAGAGATGTTTTGATTGTAAATACCGTCGCGGTTTGTGATTTCACATGTGCACATTTGTTACGAATACAAGGTGAACGGTCACGGCAGTGCACACGGTCCGCGCTCAGACTCGACTGAAGAACTCGAGAAGTGATTCTTGGTCTCGGGCTTACCTGGGGAGGAGTAATGGGACCCAATGGTAACCTGTCGGCGTTGCCAGCTCACCTGTACCTCAGACATTCAACTTAAACATAAACAATATTTATGAGAGTGTCAGTCGGGCCTGGTTTTAGTCGTAAATCTATTGTAGGTGCCTATTCTTTTTTATTCTCTTGTTCTCAGGAGGTATCTAATGCATATGCGTAGAAAACTGAATTAATGTTCGGACTGATTTTTCAGATAAGTTATTGGTTTTTTGGTTAATGTTCGCTCGCCACGGGATTTTAAAGGATGTTAGAAAACAAAATTGGTGTATGACAGTCTTATTAATCTAGAGAGGGAAAAACATGAACTGATTAAAATGTAATTTTTTAAATATTAATATTTTTACAGTCCAAATCTATTAAAAATATTTAATAATTTATTATATACTATTTTCTAATTGTTTCTTATAATAAATTATATAAAAAATGAATTGATGACAATTTACTGTAATAATAAATTTATTTTTTTAAACTTTTTCTTTCTAAATAATGGATTTCATATACAGGATGTTACTTTAATAGGTGAATATAAAGAAAAATATTTAAATCTGAACAATGGTTGATTTCTTGGTAATTAAATTTCAAATTATTGTTTTTGTTTTAATATAACAGCTTTCGGCCCCTGATTGGATAGCCTTCTTCAGTGACTTTTATTTAGTTCATTATTTTATCTTTTGGTTTAAATTATTGTTTTATTAAAAAATTATAATTATAATTGTTTATATACAATTAATATTTTTTGTTAATTAAATTTAAGAAAAGGGTGTTATTAGTTTACAATTTTATTTGAATATTTTTAGTTTTGACGATGCCTGTGCTAAGTTTGCTAACTTTGTTTTCTTAATATAGGTATTAATTATTAAAAAGTGCATCGCATTTTTTTTTAATTCATTCCATATATTAAATTGGTTCTATTTGAAATATTTAATTATTTAGGTATGTCATTGATTTGAAATAAAATAAATACTTTATATAAGTTAAAAGATGTGACAAAAATTGAATTATTCAATTAAAAAAAAAAGGAATACAAAACCTACTATAAATATTATTTTTATGTTTTTTCCGTATTCTCATTCTACAAAAACAAAAACTAATTATTGTGTTCTTAATTAAATTTTAAATTATTATTTTAACGGTTATAATAGAAAACTACTGTTTCCTAATTTGAGAATTCTGAACAGAAAAACTGAAATTTTGCAATATGTAATTTGAACAGTAGATCCCAAAAACATAAAATATACAGGGTGATCCATTTAAAAAATAAAACCTAATTAATTTTCTGAAACAACCGGAAGTTGACAAATATGTTTAAGTAAGTATGTATAAACGTCAATTCTAAAGTATGCCTTGTATGTTTGTCTAAAATTTGACTCAAATCGTTTTATAAATAAAAAAAAAATTTAATGTGGCCCTGGTCTCATTGCAACCCCTGGTATACTAAATATCGATTTTAGAATGTATATGAAATCCACCAATCATAATTCATGTTTAGCACCTTTCTAACAATGTTTTTGATATTATATCTTCACTCAATAGTCTGCGAAGAGTATTATAGGTTTATTTTCAAGAAACCAAAATTTTTAATATTCATTCAAATTTAAAAATTTTTGTAACAAAATCTTTCTCATCAAATTTTAAACAAGTTTTAAAAATGTCCATTCGTCTGTCCGTCCGATGTCACGTTTTTGTCCGCATGATAACTTAAAAACGAAAATTGATATGAACTTAAAATTTTTAGGAAAAATCAATCTCTATACGGGTACAAAGCCTATTCATTTTTAAAAAATTTGCTTAAAAATGGGGGGCTAAGGATAGTTAAAAATAAAAAAATAAATTAAAAACGAAAAACAAAATAAATTTAAAATTTTTAGGACATATCAATCTCTATAAGGGGTCGAAGTCTATTGATTTTGAAAAAATCTGATTAAAAATGGAGGGGTCAAGGGAGGATTGAAACTAAAAAAAAATCATAAAATAAAAATTAAAAACAATATCAACTTGAAATTTTCAGGAAAAATTTAGGTTTAAAACGCAACGAATTCTATTAATTTTTAAAAAATCTGAATAAAAATGGGGTGTCAAGGAGGTTCAAATTAAAAAAAATTCATAAATCAAAAATGAAAAACAACATAAACTTGACATATTCAGGAAAATCAAGTTCTGCAACAGGACGAAATCTATTGATTTAAAAAAAATCTGATTAAAAATAGAGGGGATAAGGGGGGTTAAAACTTTAAAAAAATAATAAAACAAAAATTAAAAACAATATCATCTTAAAATTTTCAGAAAAAATCAAGCTTTACAAAGAAGCGAAGCCTATTGATTTTGAAAAAAAATCTGATTAAAAATGGAGAGGTTAAAGGGGGTTAAAAAAATCATAAAATAAAAATAATATCAATTTCAGGAAAAATCAAGCTATATACGGAGATTAAGCCTATTGATTTAAAAAAATCTGAATAAAATGGGGATCAAAAGGGGTTAAAATAAAAAATACAAATCAAAAACCAAAAGCAGAACCAATACAAAATGTTTAGTAAAAACTCAAGCTCTATAGGGGAATGAATAAATAAATAAAAAAAAATTAAGAGATAAGGGGGTTAAAATATTGAAAAAAAATCCCAATTCAGACAAAAAAAAACGATATAAAATTGACATATTCAGGAAAAATTAAGCTTTATAAAGGAATAAAGCCTAGTGATCCTGAAAAAAATCTGATTTAAAATGGGAGTTAAGAAGGCTTGTTAAACTGTAAAGAGTATAATATAGAATGCCAAGCATTATATATTTTCATTCTAGTTTAAAAAATTAGTGACAATTCTGTGGAACCAATAATTGTTCGCATATTATTTTTTTCTACTCCCACATGGATATTAGCTTATCTACGCACAGATGACAAAACGAAAAAGTATGCTATTGCCTTCAACTGAACGAATATATTTCATATCCATTATAGGTAGTGAGAACACTGCAAAAAAATTAAATCCACTAATCACCGTTCATTTATATTTTGATCAACCGACTGCTATTATTTTTAAAATTTTAAATTAGTGACAATTCTGTCAAACTAATTGTCAGTATATTTTTTAGTTATTGAGATTAAACATGCACTAAAATGGGTTATTCTTGTGTAGAATCCATAAATAATAGCAGTTCTGTTTTTATTTCGTCTATAAGTATAAACAATTTGTTAATTTAAATAAAACTATATGAAGTCAATTTAGTTACGAGTATTAAAGCAACAAAAATAAAAGAATAGGTGGTCAGCGTTCCTGCCTTCCACACGGAAGACTCGAGTTTGAACTTTTTTGCTTTTTTTTTCGTTTATTTTATTTTTTAAATTATTAAAAGTCATAAATTATTTTAAAATTAGTTATTTTGTCCTAATAACCTAAAATATTTTTTTATTTGTAAATTTTCGTTAGTGGGTCGTAGAAAAAATATACTGTACAACTCAAGTGGATTATTCACATCGCATTCAGATGATTGAGCACTCCGCCTACGGCGTCGTGCTCAAATTTCGTCTTCGTGCGATATGGCTATCATATCCACGTTGCACAAACTACTATTTAGTTACTAAGGTTAAAAGTTATTAGATAAAAATCAGTTATTCTTGTAAAGAATCGATAAATATTGGTAATTGTTCATATATTCGTTAATATTTACAAAGAAGCCGTAAATGTGGGTTAATATCTTTAAAGTCGTTAGTGTCTTACAATAAATGTCTAAATTAATTTGAAATTTAATTTTTTACTCAAAAATAGTAAATTTTTCCAATTTTCATAATTATTTTGAATCAAACCACTAAAAATAGAATTTTTCGTTTCTTAATTTTTTTTCGTATTTCATTTCGTTATCATCTTGAGTTTATTAGATGCTTTTTTTCTCGAAAACAAGCAAAATTCGAAAAAAAAAAAGAACAAAATGTTGTACTTATATTTTCTTTTAAATTGATTGTTTCAGATGAAAATCCATAATATTAAAATGAGAAAAACCAAACACTTAAAAAAAATAAAAATAAAAATTACAGATAATTAATTGGTAGTACAACTTCTTCAAATGTGACTTATTTACATTTCGGTGTCCAATATATATTCAAAACAAACTAATTAGTCAAGGTACTTAAAAAAAATATATCAATAAAATTTAAATAAGATACTATCATTACCAGAATTATCTAATTTATTATTTAAGAGGTTACCTGAATTTTTAAATCTATTTATTTGTGTTTCTAAATGGTTTAATTTAATGCCTTTATTATCTATATGTAAAATTTTAAAATTATCTATAAATAACTTTGGTAATGTTATGAATAACATTTTTTAAAAGTACGGCCTATTTGACCAATATACAATTTTCGAGAACTACCTTTATTAAATCTCTTTACCTGATGTTTTCTATGAGATAATCCCGGTAATGATAGTACCTAACTTATTGGAATTTTATTAATATATTTTTCCTATGTACCTTGACTAATTAGTTTGTTTTAAATATATATTGGATACCGAAATGTAAATAAGTCACATTTGAAGAAGAAGTTGTACTTCGAAACAATTAATTGTCTGTAATTTTTTATTTTTTTATATTTTTTTTAAAGTGTTTGTGAAAATCTACCATGTTTGGGTTTTTATCAAGTAAAAGCCAAAATAATCAAGAATTTAAAAGAAAATATAAGGACAACTTTTTGGTCTTATTTTTTTTTTCGAATTTCGCTTGTTTTTCGGGAAAAAAGGATCTAAAAAAAGCCGAATCTCACCGAAATCCATTTCTACTATACACCAAGAAGAAAAATTTCTTTCGAATTTGATACTAATTTACATAAACAATATGATCCTTTATTAATCCTTATTACACTTCACTTTGCTGTCACCCTTAGGCAATTTGTTTATAGTTTATTTGGGAATTTTCTAATCTTATAATGTGCAAATAAAGAAATTCTACCTTGTTTTACCTTCTTAATATACAGGGTATCCCTTTTAAAAAAATATTATTTTTTGTTGTATTCCGTGAAGTCTGCACGTCATTTTAACAAAGCTCAATAATAACCACACAACTTATATTAAAAACATTTTTTTGTATATGCAATAATAAGGATAATAAATGGTGAGTAATTTATAGTGAATGACCCTGTACATTGACCGGCCTAAATGCAGCTTATCCATTTTACCCGAAACGCATGAAAAGGACAAGCGGCCGAAACGGGACAAAAAGATATAGAGATAGATTTTTCAAAACGGCCGAAGTGGAAGTGAAAACGGCCAAAGTGGTAACGGTCGAGGTGGGAAAACACCTAGTATCTATATATAGGCAAACACAAAATATTTCATTACCATTTTCTCTTCTGTTTGTGAACCGATTTTCTTTTTGTAATTTTTGTTTAGTAGCTATTAAGAGCCACACACACCGCGCGAGGTCGAGCTATACGGGATTCTATGCTGAAACAGAAAATGTTCGTTTCTTTGTTTTACGGGCTCATGTAGTTCGATAAGTCATACACTGAAACAACTGCAAATATTATTTTATCTTTGCGCTTTGGGAATATTTATTATTTATTTATTTATTTATTGGCTATTACTAATAAGGTTATATCAAAATAAAAGTATATCGATTTGTAATCTTTAATTTTTTAATTAGAACAGAAAGATCTAATTTGTATTGTTTCAATTTGTTTTTAAAAAAAATATAAAAGACACCAACTTAGTTAGTTTTCTCATTTTTTAAGGAGAATAATAAATATGATTATTTAATTATTAGATAATTAAATTTACAAATATAATACAAAATTATTAAAAATTAAAAAATGGATCACAGGAGGACTATAATATAAATACTTACAATTCGAACTTCATATGTAAATTTATTTAAACTTCCTGTTTAATTGTTGGTTTAATTGGTAAAGTACAAAAGCCGTTGATGTTCGTCAGAGTTTTCAGGTTTTAAAAAAATAAAAGTTTTATTAATATATCCTCACTTCTTCACCAGATTAAAGGGAATGTTTTTTGTAAAAATTAAGTATATTTCTATAATATATAACCTGATCAAAAAAAGGATAGGTACTTTAATTTAAATGTTTAAAAAATTAGTTTAATTTTATTTTGAAATATTTTCTAATTGATCAAATCTTATATTATTATATTTGATAAAAGAAAATATGATATATTTTTTGACTAATTACTATTTCTCTCAAAATTCGTTATACTCCTTACTTATTTGTTTTGATGACTTTATTTAGTTTTTATAAATTAAATAGAAATAAAAATCCACTAACTTATTTTCTCTTTATATTACGTTGCTTAATAGCTACTAATATATAATCTGGCTCTTTTATAGTAATCACTCTTGCTAAGTGATAATCTACAATTTCCGGTAAGAGACAATTAAAAAAAACTTTTCCAGGTAAGGATACATGCGTTCTTGCCAATATGTTTTATCTTTCAAAATTGTCTCTAGTCTCATATTTGTCAATGTCCAAACACAAAGCACACAATATTGTCTATTTGTAACTTGTAGCTGATCCTGCACCTAGTAAAACCATTTATGGCTTTTGTTTAATTTAAATGTATTTTTAGAAGCTGTCCATATTGTTATTTTTTTGTTTTTGATACCCTCCTCAATACTCTTATTCCGTGCTGAGTATGGACATTTTATTTCTACAAGTCCCTTTTCACCCAGAGGTCATCAGGGGTAGCTGCTAACCAGTGATATTTTTTATTTATTAAGATTCTGCTGGATTCTATAATAGTGATTGACTTTCTTGAAGTATTTGCCTAACATAATCTTCATTTTGCTTCACCCAATCGGTTGAACTGCTCTGAATAAATGGCTGGGTTAAAATTAATTTTACTAATGAAGCACATGGTGTATTTTTGCGCCTTTTGCAAATATCCCTAAATCGCGAAGCTGTTAATAAATGTTTTCTGATCTCTATCCATTCAAAATTATTGGCATGGTTTTTAGTCCGTATTTCAAGCGATGACATTTATTCATCGGTCCGTTTTAAAGACTCAAAAAAAATATTTTTAGCTTCTTCAAAACTTTCATCAGTCATATCTGGCTTTTCGCATTCTGGCCCATAATCCTTAACTTTCATCAGTCATATCTGGCTTTTCGCATTCTGGCCCATAATCCTTTTTGGTATTAGAGTCAGGAAATAGTTTTTTCCGTACAATTTTTTTTTGCTTGTACGTAGCCGTCTTGCTTCAAACTGGCGCTGCCTTCTTGCAGTAGGACTATGGTCAGTATGATATTTATGTACACTATAATAGACAGATCTTTTATTATTATAGCTAAGGGCAGCTGCGTAACAACGTCCTTGGTATTGCCTTCTTAATGAATAATTAATACGTTTTTCCCCTATAAACTTACATATCACATTGTTAAATTGTTCCACTGAATTACTATCTGTGTCTTCAATTAAACTACTGCTATTATTCACCAAAATTCCATTAATTTTTGATACCGCCCACATTTTTTTAAATTTGGTATTAAATTGTCACTGTCCGGAGTTGTTTTGGTGCAAAAATATTTTAAAACACATTTTTCATGTTCCTCAAATTCATGTTGTAAAATATTTAACAAATCATTTTTTAAATTAACAGATTTCTGGCTGTGATCGAAGCCTTCTTCATTTTTTCGGAATTTTATAGCTTCAGTGACAGCAGTTCTCAGTTTTAAAATTTTTGATTTGACTTTCATTCTTAAATCTTTAGTGCCAAATCCAGCTCTGGAACAAACATCTGCAATTTTATTGCAGAAATTTCTTAGAAGGTGGTTCCTGCATTCAACTTTTTGAACCATTTTTAGGTAAGGTCGTGCCTCTAAAATTTGCTTATAGCAGTTGCTGTCACCATCTCCTATAAAGTTTGTAAATCTTAGTTCAAGTATTTTTTCACTATTTTTGAAACCTTTTACAGTTATTGATGATTCCATGCCAGTGGAAGCTTGACTCCAGTTTTTAAAACAGATATGGGGAGGTAATTATTTTTGGGATGCTGAGGATCTAGCACATACCCTGCAATATTTATTTCTTATACCTAAAAATAAAACTTTTCCGGTACGTTTTCCGATTATTGCTGCAGCTCCAGATAATGAACTATAATTACGTTTTCCCCATGTTCCATCGCATATAACAGTGATTTCGGCAATACCATCTGATCCAACGGTACCGCTTTCCTTTGCTAAGATGATTTCTTCTTCTGCCGCTTTTACCATTTCTTTAAAAGCAGAAGATTCTATATCTTCAAACACATTTTTCTGTTTATTCCTTAACGTTTTTTTCGTGCATACAAGGTATATTTAGATTAAGGAGCAATTCTTGCAAATGATAAAAATCACAGCCAATACTTTACTTACGCTCGTAGAAAACCCTCCCAATTTTCTCCCAAAACATTAATAAAAATAATAATTTTTATGTGAGAAACTAACTAGGCATAATCAATATACTTTTTAACCGGTACTGTTGACACAATCTGTCGTTCTGCGCACGAGCTACGTGTGGTAGCAATTCCTAAGTAGGTATCTAATGTAAACCACAAAAAATTGAATTAATATTTACTTACGTCGTCCAATATACTCCAATATGGTTAGTTTTTTATTTTTAAAGAATAACATAAATAGTTTTTATTAGGTATTTTAGATTCTTTGTAGTTTGTTTTTGTATTATTCATTATGAAAAGCTAATCATACAACAAACACTATCACCACGGTATACGAATAATATCACTGCACAGCGTAGATAACAATAGATACACTCGTTATACAGTCTCAAATTAGTATAACCTATCGTAACCTGTATAGGTACTCTTAGATATTTGGATTTTTTAAAACAATGGACTTGTCTTCGGTCGTCAAGCTTTTCTTTCTCTTCTTTCTTTTACTTCGTTCTATCGTATCCGGTCGGTGCAATGAATAATTTTTATAACAGCAAATGTATATATATTTCTCATTTTCTCAAATAGTGTATAATAAAAATAATTTTGCCATGAACTCTAATTTTAAACAAAGAGATTTGTAATAAAATACATGTATTAATGATAATTACGAGATACTTAATGGTATGTATTTCAATAAAATACTTATACTTAAGTGTTTCAGTGTTATGTTTTCCAGTGTATATATGGAATCTCGTCTCCGATAGTCTACGTATTACTTAGTTCTATTGAGATCCGCCGGGTTTTGCGATGGCAGCAAAAATCAGTGGCAATTATTTAAATTTTATTTTGATCATAAATCCCTTATTTCGTGAGAAAAAATTCTGCGGTTTTTTTTAATCGGTTTTAAATTTTACTTGTAGAGGAGCTTGTTTTTTAGAATTTTAATTTTTATCGTAGTTTAGAAAATAAAAAATTCATAAATTTTTTTTCAAAAATGTAAGAAACAGCCTCCAATTGTATAAAAATTACCAATCGATCAGTAAAAACAAAAAAAAAATATTTTGAAAATTACGGTCCCTACGGTCAAAAAACGAAATATTTGTGGTATGCGGGGCTCTTAAAGAGCTTTAGTATTATGATTAAAAAAAAATTTCGAAATATTATTTTTTTCCCAACCTTCAATATATGAAATTCATTGATCCACAATTATGAATTATGATTGACTATAATAAAATTAGCCTATAGCGAACATAAACACCCTCTAATTTTGAACCAACAAAAAAATTACTTCCTATCCTCCAACTTCCCCCTCTTCTTTCTTTGCCACACCTAAATGGTAAGGGATCGAAAAAACTAATAAACTAATAGCGGTGCCATAGTCCTTGTTTGAAATTATTTCAAACCGGCAAACTTCCCCCCTCTTCACCACTTCCCGCACCACAGTGTAGGTCGATATATAGACTTGCCAGTAATACATCCAAAATATACAGTATCATATTACAAGTCTATTTTGGATTCCTGTTTATGTTTTCTTGTAAATAGTTGCTATGAGTTATATTAGATACCTATACATTTATTTTTATTTCGTAATAATTTATCATAGAATTATGTTTAATAAATATTTATTACAACCTGCTTGATTTTTATCATAAAATATGGCTTTTTGATGAATGCTTTTTTCATCATTGGGACAGTATAAAAAAAATGTTTTACTGGCAAAAAGTGTAAATGAAATTCATAAATAAATAGATAACTAACAAAAAGTAATTTTTATTTAAATGTTCTTTCATTATCTTTAACATTTTTATTACTTTGTTTATTGCTTTATTTATGACCGATCCTGCAAGTGTTATTGCCCTGTGGTTAATATTATTTGTTTGACTCTGAATTTTACGAAAACCCGATAAATTATATACGTTTTAAAATAATACTTTTTTGGTCTATTTCATTTGAATCAAAATAAGAGTTCTATAAATTTTTATAGAATTATATATTTTTACAGAAAATAATAAACGTTACAACTTTAAATGCCTTTTTTTAATCACTAGTCAAAAATAATTATACAAAATATTTCTTTCTTTGTCAATTTGCTGCCCCATTAATTTTGATTTCCTAAACATTATGTAACAGTATTCCATAAATAAATCCCAACCGAATTCCAAATTATACCTCGGGTCAAGTTTTAGGGTTCCTTTTAAAAGGTCTAATAAAATTTCCGAATCCTCGAATTCACGAACAGGTGGGTTTCTGACTTAACCGATCGTTAAAGTCATCTGATGAATTTCTATTGGGCGCGGGCCAATTGGACTGAGTATAAATGGAAAAATCTTCTCGGAATTGGTCAATTTAAATATAGTGAACGCGTAATTTGGCTATAAAATCTATAACAAATGTAAGTAAATCTGATTTGGTAACAAAGTTTAAAGGCATTCAAGCGGTCATACACGGAAAAAAATGTGACTAGAAAATTTTACTACAATGTTGTAGTAGTAGACTTGTAGAAAAATACTTAACAATTTGTAGAAAATTTTACTACAATTTATAGTTAAAAATTATTCATTATTGTAGCAACTGAATTGTCGAATAAAATGCTACAACAATAGGAAAGAATTCCACAATGTTTAGTATATTTTACTATTGTTTGTAGAAGTAGAAATTTATTACAATTATCGTAATTACTACTACTAACTTCTGAAAAAATTTGTACAAAAATTAATAATTATCTCTACAAAAAATAGTAATTTTTTCTACAAAAAAATAGTAATAATTTACATCCCTTCTTATGAAAAATATTCAATTTTGTTCAAAAATATTCTATAATATTGTAGAAATTCTAAGTCATGTGAACAAAACAGAATTCTGCTATTGGCCAACGTTTTCTGACGTCGATCATAAATGGCCAGACAGCAGTAGCCGTTCGCCATGTTCACAAAGCATGGTACATATACGAGTACCTATAACACATTATTATATTATAAACACCGATGCGTTTGAGAAAATTTTAATAATAAATTCTATTGGTGGTAAGTACATTTATTATTGTTTCTGAATAATTTACCTTTAGATAACTAATTTAAATAACCTTAGTAGATTATTTTAAGAAAAACAGTTGTGGCCAACGATCGAATGTTGTGGCCAACGATCGAATTTTGTGTCAAATTCAATGATGTTTTTTGTCTTAATTGTGACATACCTACTTTCTCATTTTTGTTAGTTATCTGACTTAGTCATTTAATATCCAAATCAGTGTAAAGGTGATAAATATCCCCGTTTTAAGGGTATGAACAGTTCAATTGTTATTAATTTTTATTTCATATTTTTCAGGTGCAGAAAAGCCAACTGAGACTGAGGGTGCTATTATTACTGTTATTTATTACATAATTTAATTAAGACTTTGTATCTTTTATATTAAAACAATAAATTGAATATTTTATTAAGGAACATTTTTTTCTAGGTTATAATTATAATAATTATGGAATACTACTACAAGTTTTATTAAAAATTACTACAATTTGTATGAATTTTTACTATTTATTTTCTAAAATTTTCGTATTTATTTTCATAAAAAGCAATACATTTTTAATATAAATTCATACAATGAATAGCAAAAATTATAACAATTTGTAGAACAATTCTTATGATGCATTTGGATATTTTTACTAAATATTGTAGATAATAACTCTACAATACATTCTCCACAAATATTTGGAAATTTTTACTACAAATTGTCCCTGTCCCTATATGTACTATTTATTGTAGAGAAAAAATCTATAATTGTAGAAATTTGTTCTACAATTTTTTTCCGTGTAAAGTCTTCATAAAACTAACCATATTCGGTCGATTAAGATAAAAGCTTTAAATATCAACACAGAGAGAAATTCATGCTTATTTGAAGGAAAAAAATAAGCATTTTTGTTTTCGTAGTGAAGGCATAAATAAGCTCTTAATTAAATTTAGTTTAAATTCAGCAACACTTTGTAGGACTACAACATATTACCTATATAAAAATATTAAAAACATATTATACTTTAATATTGTTGTCCTTCTGATGATTGCGAAAAGTGGCTCGTCAATTTTTTGCCCGCTATTTGTAGTTGGGTATAGAGGAGGAGGTAAGTTGTACTATTTCCAGGCGGCGGGAGTTGTCGTGTTACCTAGGTAATTCAAAGTAATTATATAGTGTAATTCACCACATATGGTACGGAACTTAACAATTTTTAAAAAAATACATGTAAGACAAGAATTACGTTCCAATATTTATTTTAAAATATACAAAATATCTCAGAAAACAACATGAAGATTTTTTTATGAAAACCCTACATTTTTTGCATTTATGCACTCTAAAACAGATTCTTAATGTTTAACACTTATGGTCTAAATTTATTACTATGACCACTATAGATAGTAATCATTTTTGATCATAAATGCAAC